CAAAAACCAATCAGTGAGAATGGCCAAAATCCAGAACATTGACAATATGAAATACTGGTGAGATTGGGGAGTAACAGGAACTCTTCATTTGTTGCTAGTGGGAATGCAAAATGCTGCAACCATTTTGAAAGACAATTTGACCATTTCATATATAAAACTAAACATCCTCTTTCCATATACTCAGCTATTATGCTACTTTGTATTTACCCAAAGGAGGTAAATACTTAAATTCACACAAACTTGTATAATGCTTACAGTAGCTTTATCCATACTTGCCAAAACTCGGAAGCAACCAAGATGTCCTGTAGTGGAGAGTAGTTAAACTGTGGTATGTTCACACAGTGAAATCCTACTCAGCTAAAATGAATGACCTGTCAAGTCCTAAAGAGACATGGAAGTACCTTAAATGCATATTACTAGGTGAAAGAAGGCAATCTGACTACAAACTATCGTTCCAACTATATGACATTCTGGAAAAGGTAAAACTGTGGAGTTAGTGAAAAGATCAGTAGTTGCCAGGGGTTCGCCATGGTAGGAGACGAACAGAGAGAGCACAGAGGATTTTCATGGCAGTGAAAATTCTCAGAATGATACCATAATGATAGATACATTTCATCAAATGATAGATACATTTCATCTATGGGTTTGTCCAAACCCATAGAATGTACAACACCAAGAGGGAAGTGTAATGTAAACTGTAGACTTTGGGTGATCATGATGGATCTATCAGTGTGGGTTCACGGACTGTAACAAAAGGCACCTCTCTGGAGGGGATCTGCTCATGGGGGAGGCTGTGACTGCCTGTGTAGGAGCAAAGGGTGCACAGGCAGCCTTTGTGCCTTTCCCTCATTTGCTGAGAACTTAAAACTGCTCTATAAAACTAAGTTTTAATGGAAATCAATCAGTGTGACTCAGATCAACAGTCTGAAGAAGAAGAACCATGTGATGACTTCATTAAATTTCCTTATGGTTAAAACCCAACAGCAAATTAGTACTAGAAAGGACCTTGGAAACTTAGAAAGCCCTCTTAAAGAAAAAAACCCATCACTAACCTGCTTCTCAATGGTCAAAGACTAAAACAGTATCCCCCAAAATCAAGGAACATGGAAAAGATCCTCTCCATTACCCTTCCTCTTCAACCTCATGCTGGAGGTCTGGGAAGGAAGGGGAGGGAGGGAGGGCTTGGGGGAGGAACGGAGGAGAGGGTAGAAGGGAGGGCATCCAGATTGGAAAAGAAGATACGAAAGTGAATTTGTTTACAAATGTCAGGATTGTCTTCATAGAAAATCCTAAAGAATATACAAAAAACTCCCAGAACTAGCAAGTAAATTTAGCAAGATAGCAGGTTATTAAGGTCACTATTAGAAAGTTAGTTGCATTTCTTTATACTAGCAATGAACAGCTGGAATTTGGAGTTTTTATGAAGTACCATTGACTGGAGCACAGAGACAAATACTTAGATGTAAGTCTAATAAGTGTGCAAGGTTTAATGCTGAAAACCATTGAATACTGATGAAATCAAAGATGACCTAAGTAAGTGGAGAAAGTTACTGTGTTCATAGATTAGAAAACTCAATATTGTTGAAATGTCAGTTCTCCCCAACCTGATCTGGAGAATCAATATAATTCTAATCAAAACCTAAGCAGAGTTTTTTAGAAATGAAAAAACTAATTATAAGACTTACATAGAAATTCAAAGTAAATACAATAGCCAAAACAATTTTGAAAGAGACAGACGAAATTGGAGTGCTGACACTGACTTAGAGCTACTTTAATCACTATAGTATAGTATAGACATAACTTTTTGTATGCTTTATGCTCTGGGAAACCAAAACTTAAAAGCATCCATGTAGCTTTCCAAATCTAAGTTCTAAATATTACATAGCGCTTCTTGCAGTTTCAACATGGTTTTTGTTTTGGATTTGGTGAATTCTTATATATATTTGGAAGAATAATATTACAGTATTATTGGTTATATTCCCTGTGCTGTACTCTCATTCCATAACTAATTTATTTTATAATTGGAAGTTTGTACTTCTTTATTCCCTCATCTATTATGCTCAGAAGCCCGCCACCACCACCCTTATGCAACCACTAGACTATTCTCTGTGTTTATGAATCTGTTTTGTTTGTTCATTTGTATTGTAGATTCCACATGTGAGTGAAATGAATTATTTGTCTTTTTTTGTGTGGCTTATTTCACTTAGCGTACTACTCTCTAGGTCCATCCATATTGTCACAAATGTTACGCTTTTCTTTTTTGTGGCTGAATAATATTAATACTCTGTTGTGTATATATGTACAATATCATCTTTATCCATTTATCTGCTGATGGACACCCAGGTTGCTTCCATATCTTAGTTATTGTAAATAATGCTGCAAAAAACATAGGAGTGCACCTATCTTTTCAAATCAGTGATTTTGTTTTCTAGGGTAAATTCCCAAAAGCAGAATTACTGGGTCACGTGTTATTTCTGCCTTTAGTTTTTTGTGAAACTGCCAAACTGTTTTCCGTAGTGCCTGCACTAATTTACATTTCCACCAACAGTGTACAAGCGGTCCCCTTTCTTCACATCCTCATCAACACTTGTTATTTTTTGTTGTTGTTTTTATTAACCTTAGCCATTCCGAGTGGTGTAAGGTGATGTCTCATTATGGTTTTGATTTGCATTTCCCTATGATTAGTGATGTTGACATCTTTTCATGTGTCTTTTGACCATTTATATGTATCCTTTGGAAAAATGTCTATTCAGGTTCTGTGTCCATTTTTTAGTCATATTAGTATTTTTGGTGTTTCAGTTGTATGAATTATTTATGTATTTTGGATATTAGCCCGTTAGCAGATACATCATTTACAGATATCTTTTCCCATTCAGTAGGTGCCTTTTTGTTTAGTTGATTGTTTCCTTTGCTGTGCAGAAGGTTTTTAGTTTGGTGTAGTCCCACTTGTTTTGTTTTTGTTTCTGTTACACAGAGAGCCATCCAGAAAAAAAATTACCCAATGCCAGTGTTAAAGAGCTTACTGCCTATGTTTTTTCTTCTAGGAATTTTATGGTTTCAGGTCTTATATTTACATCTTTAATCCATTTCAAGTTTATTTTTGTGTATGGTGTAAGACTGTGATCCAGTGTCTTTCTTCTGTATGTAGCTGTTCATTATTACAGCACCATTTATTGAAGAGACTGCTTTTTCCCCATTACATATTCTTGCCTCCTTTGCTGTATATTTACTGACCATGTAAGCGCGGGCTTGTTTCTGGGCTCTCGGTTACGTCCCATTGGTCTATCGCAGTACCATTACTATTTTCATTACGGTAGCTTTGTAGTAGTATTTTGAAATCAGGGAGTGTGATGCCTCTAGCTTTGTTCTTCTTTCTCAAGATTGCTTTGGCTATTTGGTATTTTTTGTGGTTCCACCACAAACTTAAGGATTATTTGTTCTAGTTCTATGGAAAATGCCACTGGTTTATGATAGGGATTGCATTGAATATGTAGGTTGCTTTCAGCCAAGAAATTTTGAGTACGACCAATGATTGAGATAGATTGCCTCTTGCATATTGCAGTGGTTCATTGTTACAATAAATACAGCAGTGTGATACTAGTTATATGACTTGTTAAACACCATGGATATTGACTATTATATGTAAGTCAAGGCGGGTCCATAAATTGATGTTTATTAAATGTGTATTGGATGAACAAATAAAATCTTATATGAATGTTTAAGGAATTTTCAGTGTATGGTTTTGTATGATTTTTCACATATATGGGGAAATGTAGATTGTTCTATAAATGTAGTTTAGAGAGTGACTGTCCACTTGGGAAAAAAAAATCATGTCTATAACTGTTTTATATAAAAAATAAATTTCCGGATGAATTAAATTTAAAACACTAGAGGAAAGTGCAAAAACTCACAGAATTAGGAGCTGCTGTAAAGAACTTTAAAGCATGGTTTCTTAGAAACTAATGAACAAAAAAAAAAATTATATTTGGCCACGTAAATGATTAAAACCCTTGCAAATGAAAAAACACTATAATCAAACCAAAAGGCTTTTCCCCTCCCCTTCCCCCTCATCCAGTAATCGAGTTTCCAAATGCAGCTTCATGGAGCTCTGAGTTAGAAATCACTTACACGTGTAGAATATTTTCAAGTAATAGTCATGATCCTCACTGTCTAGGTGTTAGCTCTGTGCCAGGTGGTGTTCTCGGCCCTCTGTCTGTATCAGCAGTCCTTGGAGAGAGACTCTAGAGGTTCCCATTTTCCATATTAGAGCAAACAACTGGTGAGCAAACCTGGACTTAGGCTCAAGCAGGCTCAATCCATCGGCTACATGTTTTTGCACTCATGTCCAGTTAACACACTACTCCCTAGTGTATCTTTTTATTTGAACTGCATATCCATGTTTTTCGGCCCTTCCTTCCTGATGTCCTCTCCCCCTACTTTGAGGACCCCTTTTCCATGTGCTCACTCACAACAATTGGGATTTGGGAGTCTCATTTTACTTGTAATTGTTCTTCTGTAAGGAGTGCGTTATAATGAGTATAGATTGAGCTTTAGGTTAAAAAGTAACTTAAGCGTTTTAAGTAGGAAACTATATTGATCACCCAAGAAAAACTGTATAGAACAAATACGGTTCTGCTTATTACCAACATCCTAAATGGCAGGCAGATGGAATGCCCTACATTTTGGGGATCACATCTCCTTTTACGTTCCAAATTTTTGGATTAGAGACCTGCTGTTACTGTAACAGGCACAAGGAGCCATAAGGTTTAGGAGAACGGGAAAAAATCACACATAATTTCTCACTTCTGTAGGCCTTGGATTTCAGGTCATGTTGGCTGATCTCCACTGGCTTAAACCCTGTTTCTATCCCTCCAGAAATGTTAGCATAATCATTATATATTTATATAGTTATTAGGTATATACCTACATGCTGATATGGAACACTTCGAATGATTTGTTTTAAAATTATAGTAAGTAAAATTAACTTGCTTTGTTTCAAGATTTGAAGGCCATATAGAGATCTGCCCACCAGGCATGACTCATTCAGCTTGTTCAGTCAACAAGAGTGTTCTAGAAGCCATCCGAGGAAGACTTGGATCTTTCCATGAACTCCTGCTTGAGCCACCCAAGGTAGGGCAGCTCCATGGCTGGCCAGCTCAGTAATTTAATTTTAAACAGTTGTGAGGAGGTACATGAACCCTGTGGAGTAATAGAACTGGCTGTGACCAGCATGTAGAAAAGATAATGAAAGGCACACTGACAGTTCTGTTCATTGATTTTGAGCTAGTTTTTATTTGGCTTTTATCTATACCTAATGTCTAAATTGATGAATGGGGTAGAATTAAAATTTGGCAAAATATGTCTTCTTGGGAAACATCTTATTGTTCTTTGTTTCTATGAATTCTGGGTACTTATATGTCAATAAAATCAACAGTTTTCTTCCCATAGCATGTTATTTTCACATCCTCTAAGTAAAGTAAATCTTACAGGAACTGATATTTGAAATTGAGATGTCTTATTTGGAGTTGGAGCAGTGTGGAGTCTGATGGACAGATACCTTATTTAAGAAATAGTTGGTTAAATATGACTTGGAGTGTTAGTTTGTCCATAAAGATCATCCACGTGCTAACGTACAAATGATTATTCACTCAGGCAGGCCACTGAAAGCAGAAAGAGCAGACGGTGAAGACCTTCAGAAGAGGGGTGTTCACAGTCCAAAAGTGGTGTTCTTCTGCTACACTCTATACCCCTTGGACGGGTGCAGAGGTTTAGATTAGGGTAAGAGGCTCCTGCTTTGGGGACCTGTAGGTGGAAGACTCAGTTCTGTGAGAGTTGTGCTGCCAGTAGCAGGTTTGTCTGGCCTTTCTCCTCCTGCCCTGTGTCTTTGGACATTGGATCCAGCATCCCAGCCATTGTAGAGCATATCTCTGTGGAATAACTGTGTGAGTTACTGGGAATTTAGCGTACTCCTTTCTTCCTTCTAAATTAGATGTTTTTTTGTTTATTTAAACATTTGTGGAGGTGGGAGCACTGAATAATTTATGTCCATTACCCAGAAAGTCTAGTTCAGCTTCCAGATTGTCTCTTTAGATGACTGGTGGCTATGAGTGAGCCAGCAGTGGTGCCGCCTGGGCCATGTCATCTCGCTGCGTTCAGCTGGGGCCAGATGCAGACCAGAGTGTTAGGTGGTCACCCACAAGGAAGGGGCCTCTATTGGTGTTAAACAGTTAACAGCCAGTGATATCCTTCATGCCAGACCTGGGAAGAACAGGAGAGGAAAGAAGGGATCACTTAGGAGAAGAGGAGAGAACATCACCCGTGGAGGCTGGAGGAGAGAAAGAAGGAGCTGAGAGAAGGGTGTGTGGCCAAGTGCCCTGACCTGTGTCTTAGATGGCCTACCTGTCTTCTTTCTAGGTGGACAAAAAGGCAGCATCTAATGTGGATTCTCACAGTTGTATTCTTCTTGGCCCTGCTTCAGAAGTAAGGCAGTGTCTCGTTTGGACTTCCTCTCTTTTACTGCTAGGAGTGAGTGAGTTCAGTTTGTACCTGATTTTACTATATAATGTGGTGTGTGTAGATAGGTGAAGCTTTCTAAAATATCTGTTCGTCAGAGCTGTCTTACATAGAATCGGACGGTGGGCCTTACCAGTCCATTAAGCCTCAGGAGCAGGAGGGCATGAGGGTGCTGCCAGGGCTGGGGGCTCTGAGAGGGGTAGCCTCACCACCAGGCTGTAACATGTCACCCTTTCCTGGCAGACTTTTGAAACTCAGAAATGTTCTCTGTCTTTTGTGAATTCAAAATGTAGAAACTCCCTTTATGAACAAGAATGGTTTAAGGCTAATCCTGTTTCAAGGTTGTGATCCAGAGGCAACTTCTGAGTTTGCACTTTTATCTCAGTTTTTGCAAAGATTGAGAACTGGGTTCCAAAGCCACTTGGAACTTCTCTTAGTTTCTTAGATTTCTGGTCAGGTTAGGAATATCGCTTTTTTTTTTTTTTTAATGGACTTCTATAGCTTTCTGCTTTCTTCCTGTGGCAGTTTGGAATGTTGGAGCAGGGGGATACTTGACATGTTATAAAATAGTCCAGGGATATTATTTGATTTTTTTCCCCTTTGGTTATTTTGTCATATCTTAAAGATAGCAATAGCATTTCTGCATTTTCCTTCAGATGAATTCAGGTCAAATTGTTTGCAGGGTCAGTTTACCTAGAGTTATATCTTAGATCATATCCCTACACCCTTTTGTTTGTTTATTTAACTGGATTTAATTGGAGAGCTTTTCTTCCTCAGAAAAGTGTGATGAAGACTACATGGGGTGTGCTGGACCCTCCTGTGGGGAATACCCGGTTGAACGTGATTCGGTTGATATCCAGCCTCCTTCAAACAAATACCAGTAGTATCAATGGGGACCTTATGGAGCTGAATAGCATCGGAGTCATATTGGTAAGATTTCCCCTGAAAGATGTCATTTGCTCTTGGTATTTTTTAGATAATTAATGTAAGTCACAACCTCACTCACAGTGCTCTGAGCATAAATGGTCTTTCTTATAGTTTTGCCTTGAGTTTATCATCAATTATGAGTGGTTTTAATTTTTCAGTAGGTATTTATTGTTGCTGTGTGTAAAGAACTTTGTTAGAGAATTTCAAAGATGATTAAGACAGACTTTCATTGAGAAGCTCAGTGTGTATGGCAAAGATGTTAGAGTGGATATAGTCAGGGCTTGTCTCAGCAGTAAAGTGACCCTAATTAATTAGCAAGGGGGCAGACCTTTGTCTTCTTTCTACTGAGCTATATCTGTATAGTGTATCTGAGAATGTATGTAGTCCTTGGACTCCCAAATTTTTCCTTGAAATAGCTTTTAGTCTGCTTGTCAGTGGAAGAGAGAAGGAAGAGGCCAGTTAATTCTGGACTTCCCTGACCGAGTTCCCCAGTTCCAGGGTTTGTGCTTAGAATCCACAGGCCCAGCCTTGCTTTGTCCGTCCTGCCACGCCACAGCACGGAAGGCATGGAGATGAACATTTAACAGATTTCACAGGACATCTGGCCAACACCATACATTTGGGGGAGTTCTGGGGCTGTTTCAAAGGAGGATCTGGGGCTTTGCTCGCTAAATCAAAGGCATTGTAATGTGCATTTTATATACATTTCTCATGTGATCCTGAGTGTAAAGCCTCATGTGAGAGAGAGTATCTGTTTTTCAGATCATGCCCAGAGAGGGGAACATTCCATGGCTAGTAAGTGTTAGAGCTAAGATTTTGAATTCACATCCAGTTTCAAACCCATGAGTGCTCTATCAACCCTACTGTTGTGCTTTTTAGTGTCATTGAGATATTTTTAGTTCTGTTTCAGCTTTGGGTTAAGTGATGTATGAGTATAGGGCATAGAGAGCAGGAACATTTTGGAGAAAGATGAAATATGAAAGGATTATAGTTTCTTTGGTAGCATAACCATGTATCTGAGGAGACATAGCTTTTGCCCTGTCCTCTGACTGGTATACCCTCCTGACTACAGGAGGGTAATGTTTTACTCCCCATTTCTGGGAGTCTCCCCGGAAGTCATCAGTTACGAGTATATAGCTAATGTTAATTCAGTCTGTCTTAATCTTTAGAGCTACTTTTAAGTGCTGACAGATTTGGTAAAACTCCTCTAACTAGATCAGTAACCATTGCTGTTTTCATTTTGAGATTAGATAACCAGACTGAATGATACCCTGAATATATACTTGAACTATGCATTATAAGCTTTCAGGAATCATCTTTTCTCTTTGTGGGACTTTTACCTTTTCAGGTAATTTGGAAAACATTTCAGGATGTTCCCATGTCACTGCCTCTCACACCTCCCTTGTTTTACTCCCTTGGCTGAGTTTTGAATGCCTGAGTGCTAACTCTTCCTGGGGTGTGAGCACCTCCTAACTGGGGACATATTTTTATCTCTGCCTTTCCTGTTGCACCCGGCACTATGCCTGCACAGAAGGCATTGTTGGTACATACTTGCTAAATCAAAATGAGATTCTCAAAGATCTCTTTGAAAAGTATTGGAAGTTTACTGAACTTACGTGTATTAGTTGCTTTGAAAACAAAAAGCTACTCCCTTTCTCTTTGAAAAACTTAACGCTTGTCCTTTCTTCATATGTTTATTGTTGGTCTCTCCTAGATTCCATGCAAATTCTGGCATGTTGGTTGGGTGAGCAGATATGCTGTGTAGTCTATGAAAGCGGTGTTTCAAACCTCCTTTAAAATAAACTTGTGTTCCCTTTTAATTAGTCCTGTTGAACTAAGAGTACATCATTTTTTACTTTAAACCACTATTCAGTAAATGTATGAAAGTAGTGTCTTAAACACATTGAAGTAACTGAATAAAAGAAGGCATTATTTTTCTTTTTTTACAGGACATGTTCTTCAAATATACATGGAATAACTTTTTACACACTCAAGTGGAGATTTGTATCGCACTGATTCTTGCAAGTCCTTTTGAAAACATGGAAAATAGCACAATTACTGATCACGACTCCACTGGTGACAATTTGTTATTGAAACATGTAAGCTTCCTTCGTGTCTTTTTTCTGCCACTCCTGGTTATAGCATTTTGCCGCTTACGTGTGAAATAAATTGAAGTTTTAAGGGCATGAAGTTAAATTTCAGAATCTAACTATTTAACTTATATTCATTGCAGTTTTAACCAATGATTCTGTAAATCAGCTCAAGTAGCTTGCTTATTTGGTAAAATCAGTAGATTTGAAGATTGAGAACTCAGAGATTAAAAGACCCATAACATTTTAAATGCTGTAAAAAAACATTTTTACAATATTTGGCATGCTGGAGTTACCATTTCTGGTGCTGAACACAGGATGGAAAGTTGGGAGCAGTGAGTTCTGCGCGATGTCAAGCAGACCTCTTCTTTTGGTCTGTTTTCTGGTATTAAACATGAGGCGGCATTTGTGGAGTATAACAATGAAGCAAAACTGAAGGAACAAAACAGCAGCAGACTCACAGACTCCAAGAAGGGACTAGCGGTTACCAAAGGGGAGGAGTGTGGGAGGGCAAGTGGGGAGGGAGGGAGAAGGGGATGGTGGGGTATTATGATTGGTGGTACATGTGGTGTGTGTGGGTGTCACAGGGAAGACAGTGTAGCACAGAGAAGACAAGTAGTGACTCTGGCATCATACTATGCTGGTGGACAGTGACTTCACTGGGGTATGTGGGGGTGGGGACTTGATAATATGCGTGAAATGTAGTAACCAGTTTTTTTCATGTGAAGCCTTCATAAGAGTATATATCAATGAATCTTTAATAAAAAACCAAAAAAATAAAAGATTGTCTCAGGCTGCTAAAAATAAATACATAAACAAAATATCTATTTTTTATATATATATATATATATATGAAGCAGTTGTACTAAATCAGTCTTCAGGTTTCTTCTTGCCCTGAAGTCTTTGGTTGTATGAAAATCTCACTCACGCTGGGTTACTTCCAAACTTGGAAGACAGGAAAGGCTAGCCTGGAGTGACCAGGAAGACAGGAAAGGCTAGCCTGGAGTGACCAAGTGGGTGGGGAAGACAGGTGGCGACTGAGTACAGCTGGCACTGTGCCCGCTACAGGGCAGCCACAGCACTTCCACTGGCTTGCAGAACGTGGGCAAAAGCCACACCTAATTTTAATAGGAATGCAGTAGTGTTAGTACATCTGGAAGTGAGTGTCGCTCACGTTTACAGAGCACAAATATTTCTGCAGATTAAGAATTAAATTTTATTCATTCATTATAATTTTGGTTGTGCTGTAGATTTCTGAGCCACATTTTCTTAGCTACTAGAACCTGGCATGGCTTTGAGTCAGCTGCGCCCTGGCAGCCGCACTTGAAATGCCATCATTTCCCAGTAGAGGCAGTGCCCTGTCTTGAATCCCTGTAGTGTCCCAAAGGCCTTGAGGATCCTTATTACCACACTGCATGTGCTTCAGCCAGTAATTGACAGCTCTTGGTAGCTCGCAGGGTTATACGTATCACTATTCTGTTTAACTAGAATTCTATTTCACTTGAAAATTTTGACCCTGACATTTATATAAATGTTAACTGAAATATTCCTTTTTATTCAGCTTTTTCAGAAATGTCAGTTAATAGAACGAATACTTGATGCCTGGGAAATGAATGAGAAGAAACAGTAAGTAAATTTTTTTTATAGGAATTCACTTTGATTTTTAATTTGAAGAAAATATCCTCCCATGCCCTAGTCAAGAGAAGAGTGAAAATCATTACATGGTACAGTCCACTTAACAGTTATAAGTGATTCTCTCGGGACTGCAGATTATTTCACGGTAACAAATGTTTTTCTGGTAACTTACTTTTACATTCCCTGCCTTTCTGCATCTCTTGAGGGGGGGAGACCAGGGGTCTGAAGTGTCCTCGCCTCTGTGCTGCCTTCGAAGCTTCCTGTCCCTTGTTGAATGGCTGTCTTTCTGAGAATAACGCAGAGCTGAAGTAAAGAGGTGTAAAGGCCTGTCTTCTTTGATGATGCTTTAAGTGAGCACGTTTGTCATGGTCACCCCATGTTTTCATTTTAGAGAAGAATTGCTTTGGGCATAGAACTAGAGAGGGATGTTGCCTTGTATTTTCCTTTCAGCAATTCCCGTTAGCTGATTGGCAAGCTCATTATATGAAGTCTTAGTTGATGCGTACAAGTAGCCTTGTTCACAGACTTCAGTCGTGATGGTGGTGTCTATGACAGCATTCTTCCATAATGCCCCAGGAGCTTCTGTGCCAGCCCATAGTTGGCAGGCAGGTGACGAAGGGTGTATTTGGAAAACATTCTCAAGGCATGCTTCTTGTAAGTCAGGATTATTGGGGTATGATTCTTGTAAAATGTCACCTTTTTTGGTGTGCATTTCTAGGAATTCTGACAACTGCATGCAGTTGTCTAAGTACCACAGTCAAGACAAAGAACATTTCCATCATCCTGAAAAGTTGTTTCATGCCTCTTCATAGTTGAATCTTTTCCACTGGCTCTGTGTCTCTGTTCTGAGTCGTCTTGCAGCCCCCAGGAAAGCATGGGAGGTGTCAGCTTTATTTTGTGAGACTTGGGCTTTTTTACATTGCTCACTAGGCACTGATGTGGCTCTCATTTGAGTCTGTGGGAATGTGGCATTTAGTGGGAATGTGGCAGGGACCAGGTTGGTAGAACTCACATATGTGCTTCCAAATGGAGCTTCCCTGGTGTGGGGGTGCTGTGCATGGCCAGACCAACATCCCTGGTTGTGTGTCTGTGTTTTGGGCCCTCCCTAGCTCCTGACTCCTTTCTCTCTCCGCCTGCTCATCTGGCCAGTGCTGAGGTGTCGTATGTGCTGTGCTCCCCATGAGCTGCATTCTCGGGAGGTCTGGCTGTTAGTGTTCTCTGTCTGGAGGGGTCCTAAAAGAGATCTTCTAATGTTTCCTTGTGCCAGAAGCCTCCAGGGGATTGGGGCTCCTGGAACAGACACCTTGCAGTTGGGCCTGTTTACCTGAGGCTGGCGGAGCATGGTGGTGTCCACCTAAGGAGTTGCTCATGAGGCGCACTCAGGTCTTGGGATCTTACTGTGAATCTTAAGGGTCGCTTAGCCACTCAGTTGACATCAGCCCTATGCCTTGTGACCCTTCACTATCTCCAAACCTGCCAAGATTATTAGCAGGTATTTTATTTGTCAGGCAAGCTGTCAAGCAGAGTATGGCTTTCTTAGTGACTCCTGAAAGGTTCTCCCTTTAAGCAAATATCTCTTCAGTTTGTGCCCTCCTCCATCTGAAGTCAAAGTCCTTTTTTTCATAGAAGTTGAAGTCTTGGCACTTGATAAATGGTTGGGCAGAGAAATCACAAGTGATGTGAAAAGTTTGTCTGAATGTAAAGATGGATTATGCTTGGGAAGATCAGACTCTAGGTGAGGGAGAGGGGTGAGGAATAATTTGTTTTCCAAGGGATGTGTGGGCCGAATCCAAGTTGACTACCTCTCCTCTTAGGCTCAGTCCTCAAAATCAGCCAATATTTTAACTTGAGAAATGCCATTGGTAGACAGTTATCTCTGCTAGTTGATTGATATGATTAAAATTTGATGTTTTTTAGCAAAATGAACCAGAATTCTCAACTCAGTTCCCTACAGTCTGCTTAATGTCTAAAAAATAGTTTCACAAAAGATTTATTAAAGGAAAGTTAAAGAAATATTAGGCATTAATGAATGTTTGGGGTTTTGTTTTTAAAGGTAATATGTTATTGAAGATTACTGGTTGGTTTGTATATTTGAATAAAGTTTGCCCTGTTGAGGGAGGCTGCAATGTGTCTTTGAGTAGACAGTTTCTGTTGTTACCCCCTGCCCCCTGCCCTGGCCTGGTCATATTCTGGCACTCTCCTTTTCTGTCCATTCCCGTTTTTAGAATGATGAAGTCTACAGTATTTACCAGGCTATTTTGCCACTGAAGCTGAATACAGTTGATATTTGAATAACATGGGTTTGAATTGCATGGGTCCACTTATAGCACAGGTTTGTTTTCAATAACTATATTGGAAAGTTTTTTTGGAGATTTATGACAATTTGAAAAAACATTCTGTAATTTTATTATAAGAATGCTATATATAATGCATATCACATATCAAAGATGTACTAATCAACTGTTTATGTTGTCATGAATGCTTCTGGTCAACAGTAGGCTATTAGTAATTAAGTTTTGGGGGAGTTATAAATTATACTTGGACTTTGGACTGTTGGGGGTTGGTGCCCCTCACCTCTGAGTCGTTCAAGTCAGCTGTGTTTGTCCTTTACCCCCTTGTCAGGGCTGAGGGAGGAAGACGGCATGGCTATATGGGACACCTGACTAGGATAGCTAACTGCATCGTGCACAGTACTGATAAGGGCCCCAACAGTGCATTAGTACAGCAGCTTATCAAAGGTAAGTGGCTTATGGAATTTTAACTGTGGTTTTTGTTGGATTGGGGAAAGGATTTAAGGATAAAGTGGATGTATTTGTAGCATTTTTAATAGCTATCTATGGAGTTTCTTTATGTTCTGCAAATTATCTGGAGATTTAGATGAGGTTCTTGAGAATGTGTTTAAACCATGTAGTTCTTTGCTGTGTCTCCTCTTACTTCTGCAGTCCTTTTATTAAGTATTGGCAGGAATGGCTGAGGCCAGCATGCTTGAGTTGCTCACTTTCCATTCTCAAAGAACATTGCTCAATAAATCATTCATTTGAGCTTCAAGTCCTCATAGGCCGGCACTTGAGCTATAATTACTCTTTTATTTTCTTCTGGAGGCCCCTATATAACCTATGGATTGATTTCCTTTAACTGGGATATCAAAGCATTTATCAGCATTTTTTCCATATGTTCTATTACTAAAATGAGGGATATTGGCTCTTAAAGGAATCTTTTTCTGTAGTAGTGTTTAAATGTAATCAGCCCAAGGTTACTTGGAAGAAACCATGTGGATGCCTTTTACATTGGCACCCAGGCCATGTCTCTCTCCTCTAAAATGAGAGCAGTAAGAGCTGTGTGTACTCTGTGGTTTGTACCAGCAGGATTACTAGTCCTGCCACACGCTCTGAATGGGAAAGAACTTTTAACCTCTGTGGTACAGAATTCTTTCATGGTAAACTTGCCGAAAATCATTTCCCAGTCTGTGCTATTTTATCTTTTAAGGATGTTTGTGTGTTCAAGAGGCTGTTACCCACCAAATACGCACTTAAAAGCATAGTTGTTTCCCTCTGATGGAAAAATTGGGACTTCCCCACCTATAATTTTGCTTCTTAGGAGAGGCATGAGCCAGATCATCACAGTGTGTTTTATGTCTTTTTCTTTAAAATTTCTCTAGATGGTAGAATTTCTCTATTGCCTATTTATCCATATGTTGGCCTATAACACAAATATTTAGGAAATACGATCTTTGAGCAATTTGAGAAGTCACACTGGATTCCATGGGACATCCATTGGTGATCTGCTAGTCAGAGTATCTCAGGAAGGTGTGCAGTAGCTGGCATTTGCAGCATTTCCCAAACTTGTATGACCGTGGAAAAGACAGCTTCCTGCCGACCTTAAGGACTGCTTACTGTTCTCAGGAGATTTTGTTGGAAACATATATTTTCCAGGTTAAGTTTTTAGGCAAAGATTTTTAAAAGCTTATTAAATTCACAGAGCTGCTTATGACTTTTGGCAGCAAGTTTGGACCATTCAGTGAATGTTTCTGGTTCCTGGAAGTCCTTGGGGACTGTGCAAAGCTTCCCCAGCTCCATTCTTCTAAGAGCCAGGCCCTCAGCTAGTAGGGTGTGTTTGCCTTCCCTGAGCTGAGTGGGGTGGCATTCTCTTGTGTTGCCTGTTTATTCATTTGTCCGTGTGTAGATCATTATAGAGATAATAATGTTTTTTCCTTTTCTCCCTCTGAAGATCTTCCAGACGAAGTCAGGGAGCGATGGGAGACATTCTGCACAAGTTCCTTAGGAGAAACTAACAAGAGGAACACGGTAGATCTAGTAGGTTTTACAAGGTTACATTTCTATGATTTCAGTGCTCTGAGTCTCTGCTCATTTTTTCAGAAAAAATGTGAAAGCTCTTCCATTTGTCCTGGTAATTGTGGACCAGAGATAAGTTAATGTTTCTTTACCAGAAAGAGCAGTCAGTGTTCACAGTATTCTTGCTGATTTGTCGAGTCAGTTCCTAATTCCTGCCTGAGGCGACCGAAGTGTAAACTTGCCACCACACCTAGCCACCCTTCCCTGCAGTGCCCGCTCCTCGAGCCTCTGGCTGACTTGCGCTCCATGGGGGCTGCTGCCTTATGCCTCAGATGACCCCGTCTGGTTAGGAGACCTACATATTCCTTTGGATATTTTCTACTCTTACTGAGTCGAGTTTACCCTCATTTTAGATCATTCTCAGTGGGGTGAAATTTTGTTGATAACTTTGAAACCCCAACTTTAAAGTCTTTAATACATTGGTACTTTTAGCCAGGGAATAATGGCATTGATAATATTTTTTAAAATTATATTGGACTTTGGAATGTATTCTTTGTTTTGTTTTGCCTTTTTTTTTTAGTGCAGTAAGTTTTGAGGTAAGTATTGCTTTTGTTTTTGCTTTTAAAGATGAGGGAAAGCCATTTCCTTTCATGAGCGCCTGCCAGCTGATGATCAAGTTGGTGCCCTTACCTCTTCATGGAAGTAAATGTGTCAGGCATTTAATTCTGTATTTGAAATTCAGAAGTGCAGTCTTGAATTTCTAGTACACAGTGACACCTTGAATATTAAGCAGTCAGATACCTGGGCGGCCTTACCTGATGATAGCAGAATTTAGAAACAGGAGGGAAATGGGCTTTGGCAGCTGCAGAGCATCCCTGGGTCATCCTGTGTCACACCCTTCAAGAGCCTCTTGCCTCCTACTCTGTAGATTGTCTGGAAGATTTTATTATATTTTTCTAGACTCTTGACAGATTAAGATGTGTAAAATGATGGGCTTAGTAAGTATTAGGAGTTGGAAGAATTTTGAAGTTAAAAGAGATGACTGAAAGAGGTGAGTGGGGCTGTTGTATAAAACCAGGTCTCCTGGCGCTCAGCCTGTGTGTTGCAGCCCAGCAGAGAAACTGGCCTTCGCTTTAACAGCCCTGAGTCATCGAGGAGACTTAAGTGATTTTTAATGAATATATTACCCACCTTAGATCGTTTTTACCCCCAAATTCGTTAAAATTCTAGATAATTGCGATTTTTAAAATTATCCTTTGACTTCAAAGGTAGAAGTCAGCCATATCCAGTAGTTACCAGGATTTTAAAAAAAACTTCTTTATCTGTGGTAATTGAAGCAGATTTCTCTGGTGAGCAGTTCTTTAGAAAGAACTTCATTACTGTTGAGTTAACACTCAGCTACTTTGCATGATGCTGTAAGCATTCTGGTCTGCGACTGTGTGTGAATGTTTATGTGTGTCTACGTAGAGGAGCATGGCACGCAGTGCAGTGTGAATGTGCAACCCTTTGGGTTCAAATCCACGTAGACAAGTACGCTTGTGCTGAAAGGAAAGCAGCATGGAGCCCACCTACCAGGATGGAAGCTCGGTCTGCCTTTGCCTGCTGCACTCTGTGCCATCATACTTGGACTGCATGAATCATCTACAGTAAAACAGAATAGGAGAAGTTGGCTTACGTAGCCAAAGAGGTCAGATTTACAGAGCCCTGTTAATCAACTGTATCTCAGTGGCCGTTGAGACTTGCAGGTTGATCTCTCAAGACCTCTTTAATTTCTTGGCCCCAAATACCTAGTACTAAAACACCACCTCTATTTTGTCTTTCCAATAAGAAATTTTGCTTTTTAGTGCTTTTAGGGACACAGGTGTTCTTCCAGGTTTTTAAGGATGTGTATACGTTAACCCTAGGCCACCAAGGAGATGTTAACTGCAGCTTCTGGGCCCTTCACTTTCTGCCCACAATTTTTCAGGCTGTAACCCAGTGTGGTTGGGTGCCACATTCCAGAGAAAATGTGCTGCTGTGAATATTATTATAAACAACTTGGTAAATGCAGTGGGTCTTGCTCTTGAAAGAATGTCATACAGAGTCATGTAGTGTGAAGTTCAAGTAAAAGCATATTTCTCTTCTGATGGTTTCAGGTGCATTTATCACTGAATTTGGCAGTTAAGTAATAGATTGCCTCTTCTCTGCCCCCATCTCTAAGTAGACAGATTAGATTAGATACACTGCCTTGACTTCATTGATTTTAGATTGTCTCAGCTACCTCTCTGGGGATCACTTCAGGTGTATTCACAGGACTTGAGTCAACCTGTGCTAGTTCATCACCTGAGTTAGTACAGTGTTGCATTGCCCTGGCCTGTTCTTGTTTTTCGCGTCACAGCAACAAGTCGTTCATTGATACACCAAACACTTACCCATCCTACTGGCTGTGGGCCTAAGGACTTACTTGGTTGTGTAGGATATGCTGTGCCTGCCCCAAACTCCTGTCATTTTTTTAGAGCAGCATCTGTTTTCAGGCTCCTACCCCTTCTAGGCAACTTTTTTTTTTTTTAACTCTTCTTTTTTATTTTTTTTTATTTTGGTATCATTAATAAACAATTACATGAGCAACATTGTGGTTACTAGATTCCCTCCTATTATCTAGTCCCCACCACATACCCCATTACAGTCACTGTCCATCAACATAGTAAGATGCTATGCAATCACTACTTGTCTTCTCTGTGCTATACAGCCTTCCCCGTGTTCCCCCTTCATTATGCGTGCTAATCATAATGGCCCTTACTCCCCTTCTCCCTTCCCACCCACACCCCCCAGTCCCTTTCCCTTTGGCAATTGTTAGTCCGTTCTTGGGTTCTGTGATTCTGCTGCTGTTTTGTTCCTTCAGTTTTTGCTTTGTTCTTACGCTGCACAAGTGAGTGAAATCATTTGGTACTTGTCTTTCTCCACCTGGCTTATTTCACTGAACATAATACCCTCTAGCTCCATCCATGTTGTTGCAAATGGAGGGATTTGTTTCCTTCTTATGGCTGAATGATATTCCATTGTGTATATGTACCACATCTTCTTTATCCATTCATCTACTGATGGACATTTAGGTTGCTTCCATTTCTTGGCTGTTGTAAATAGTGCTGCGATAAACATAGGGGTGCATATGTGTTTTTGAGACTGGGCTCCTGCATTCCTAGGGTAAATTCCAAGGAGTGGAATTCCTGGGTCAAAAAGTACTTCTATTTAGAGAATTTGAGGAACCTTCATACTGCTTTCCACAATGGTTGAACTACTAGGCAACATTTTAATTAACCTCTTTCTGAGAGCTTTGAAGTACCTCAGTCTTTTGATCCTATCGTGCCAAAGTGTATGCCCAGTAGATTCACGTATTGCTTATGTTTTTATGTTGGGAGTTTCTTATGAATAAAATTTGGTGTTTTGATTACATCTAGAAACATCTGTGTTTTGACAGAGCTCCCAAACCGTTAACTTAAGTAAGGATTTAAATAGAGTAGATTTAGATAACATAGGAAATGCTTTTGTGCTGACTTTGGAAAGTTGAGTTTGTTTCATTCTCTGCCTTCCTCTCCAAGGGGGAGAATGTGTTTCCGAAGGTGTGGGGCTTCTCTCTCGTTGTGGATGAGAGGAGTTTATAGAGGCCTCCAGATAGTAAATGTGCATGTATGGATTGCCTAGAGAGACGGCGGGTCGGGGTGGAGGCTCTCGAGAGTTGGTGTTTCTAAGCAGCTCTGGATCCTATGGGTGCCGGGGGGACCAGAGTGGGACCACACACACCAGAGGAAGGAATAAGAGGGGTCGCTTCCATATTTCACTCGGAGATTAGCAGTCAAGTCATGCTTATGATTTTCCTTAGCAACCCAAGTCAGCCAAGGTGAAACACATACTTTTCCCATTAATAAACAGCAGTTTTATTATGAAAAAAGATAACCTCTCAAAAACTTTTTTTCACTGCAGCATTATGTACACTATCTAACTTGGCAAGTGTGTTCCTGTATACTTGTTACTTTTGTCAAAGCTGTGGTGCTATGTTCTCATGTAGTAATTTATTAGTATTCATTAATTGAATGAATATTTGAGTGGCTGCTAGGTACCAGACACTGAGGACATTGTACTAAACAGGACTGGCAAGAATTCCTGCCTCGGTGGAGGTGGGGAAACCAAAGGATGGTGACCTCTGGGGAAAGGAGGGAGTCGGAGCTTTGGGGGCAGATGTGCAACTTACATTGGGCAGTCTTCTCACTGAGAAGGAGCTCCGTGAGCACATTGTGTAGAAGCTTTAGGGATATGAGGAAGAGTGGTGTACAGGCCCGAGACGGCGTCATGGCTGGTGTGCGCAGAGGCCGGCACGGCATCCAGAGCGGCCATCTCAGAGCCGGCTGTGGGGAGAATGGACGTGTGAGGTCTGAAAGGCTCTGCAGATTCTGCCTTTCATTTTATCAGACAGATTCAAAATGAGAGTTTGACCACAGAGCAGGATTTAATGGGCAGTAGTGGGTTATTCATTTGGCTATTAGGCACAGCTTCTGGGTTGATAAGTGGCGGCCCCATGTTTCCGCTTAAAAGTGCTCTGTGCCCAGAACACTTCTACACTAAGTACAGGATGTGTAATTCAGAAAATAGTGTCAGCCACCCTTACAGGTTTAGTGCTTTTTCTAGACTCTTACAGGCCGTTCCTGTTTATAACTTGCTGTGTAGCCATTCCTGTTACCAGTGCTGTACATAGTCACATGTATATTGTCATTTCTAATTGTTAATACATTTCCCACTAATACTGTGTGTCATTTATGAATTAATAAAAATTAGTTTTTTTATCATGAATTGGCAAGCAGTTCATGTTTGTATTTTTCCTTAGTTAATGGAAGTCGGTTGTAAGTTCTGAGAGCAGGGGCATGCATTTTAAGGGGCAGAAGATTTTAGGTCTTATGAGCAGGAACTATTGACTCAACTAATATCTAGCGCTTGTGTACAGTGTTTGTCTTAGAGTGGGCAGGAAATGCAAGAATTGGAAGCGAAATGGTTATACCTAAACGTGACCTTTCTGGGGGCTCATCAGTGACCCCTGGGATTACAGTTTTACCCTTTGTGTTTGGCACGTACACATAATTTTTCTGTTTCGTTTGGGCTGTTACTTCTGCCTTCCCTTTGGAAGCATTTAATTGGGAATAATGATCAGAATCACGTAAATGGAGTAGCTCGTCTCTTACCTGTTCTCTGGTGATATTTTTAGTGAAAATACCACAAGTGGTCAGCAGAAGGACAAGGAGCTAGCCCGTCTTGTTGAGTGAAGTGCACCCTTGAATTATTGGGTGGGTTTTACAACTTAACTGTTAAACATATTTTTGTTCTTGACACTGTTACACATTGAGAGAAAAACTAAATGTGTTTTTCCATAAAAATGCTGATACAAATGTCCAAAACTTTTCTGTTAAATAGTTTTTTACATTTCTATGCATATAGGTTACAACCTGCCATATTCATTCATCCAGTGATGATGAAATTGACTTTAAAGAAACGGGTTTCTCACAGGATTCTTCTTTACAGCAAGTGAGTCATGCCTTAAAGCTTTGCTTTTTGTCTTTATTTTAAATGCTTAGTCTAGTTACCATTTATGAATTAGCTTTGGAGTCAGATTATGCATTAGGATGAGATTTGGGGTTACTTGTTAGGCAAAAGACTTAATACAGGAGTGTTGGGTACATGAGAGGAAGATTTCTATTGATTATATGTCAGGAAATGTTTCGTACTTGATAACATTGATGAGTTGGGTAAATTTTCAGACTTGAATGAACTGAATTGTTTAGTAATAAGCATCTCAAACACTTAGTCAGGACCAGGTCTTGACGTATCAATTGCTCTGGTGTGGCAATAGAATTAATGTCGTCACCTTCCCACCCGCACTAAATGTTGCTTGGCTTCTTTTTTCTCAATATTTAAGCCTTATCTTTTACCAGAGCCAGGATACAGCGTCTGCTGGTTTTGCTGGCCCTGTCTTTTGACATCCAGGTAGACTGTCATACTCTGGTATAGGTTGAGCTAAGCTGTTGCTTGGTTTTGATACTAAGGGAGTTTAACATTCACATTTCCAGCGTAGGGCTGAAGGAGCATTTGAGCACTTGGCTGGCTTCTCTTTTGATGCTGCTACTCTTTGGCAGCCCGCCTCCCCCGGTTAGGGGGTGGGAAGCAGTCAGCCCACAGGGGGAGCTGTTGAGCAGCAGGGCCTTCTTACAGAGGGCGGCAGCCCCTCAGTGCCACCCCCACCCCCCATCTTGGCTTGCTGTTCAGCAGCACTAGCCACTCAGGATGCCCAGCCAGCTCGTTGTAAGCTCCCAGGCTTCCATCAATCCTTTCTTGATTCCAGGGTTCTCTGGTATTGCCCCAGGAAGCACTTTGACACTTTTCTCCACTGAAGCACTTATAGGGTATTGAAATAGTCCACTCAACCTGTTATGAACCCCAGTGCCACCCAGTGCTCCACCCCAAAATGAAGCTCGATGGTGTAAAATGTAAAGTGTCAAGGTGATTTTGTACCTATAGCTCTAAGATAAAGACTGCCCTAAACATCTATTTGTAAATAAGCCTATAAACCTAGAACTTTAGGTTATTGGCTTGACCTATGAGTAGTTAAACTTAGGTATCTGGAAAGAGGATCCCCTTACTTCTTTCCAGTCACAAAACTGCTTCACTAAAATTTTAGACTTCAGCCAGGCTCCTAGCCATGTGGATTTTACCCACTTTATGTAACTCTGTAATAGTAGGAAGAATAATTCTTTTCTGATTAACAAGCTTCTGGTAAACTTTTCTCTGCATGTTTAAACTATAAACCAGACATGGATCATTTTGAAAATAAGATGCTCCAAAGCATTTTTTTTTTTTTTTTAAGAATACAAGTCTAGGTTATTTAAGAATTTCATGATGGTTCCATCATAATTAGAATATTAGCTGGTATATGTCAACTTCAAGTTCTCATTCACATTTGAAGTTAGGTCTCGTAGAGAACTTAGGGCAGGTTGTTTAACAGGCTTGCCTGACCATGTCCCCGTGGGGCCATATTTGGCTTGGGGAGTGCCTTACAGCCTGGGTTTTGTAACCACCCACCCTTCCTGGTTTCCTCACTTGTGACGTCTGACTCATTTTACTGTGTCTGGAGAGTTAGGGCTGATTGCCGCATATGGGCTCCCTGGCACTGATCTGACTGCCTCCCACCCCACTTCCAAACAGGTCTGCTTGCAGGCAGGACGAGGGAAGTGGACTAGGAGTGTCCATTGCCCAGGTAGTGGGCTAACTTCTCAGTGACTTAAACAGTCGCTGGCTTTGGCCAGGATGACAGACAGTTCTGGGAAGTGTGGGTTTTTGTTTTATAATTAAATGTTTCTGTTAATTACACAGCCATATGGTGCTTTCCATATTTGGATTTCTCAAGAGTCCAAAGCATTTTTTATAAAGCATTAAATAGAATACAGTAAATCTTCACTTATTACATGGGTGTAGTAAGTCTTGATAGCTTTATTAGCAAAAATCATATTTGAAACCTGAAATTCATTGCTAGTTTGTGTCTTCCCAAAAGCTGTAACAGACTTAGAGGAGTCAGAGCTATAACGGTCCTACTGAGGACTTGCATTTGTTGGCTTTCTTTTTCTACTACACTACTACCCAGAGGTTACTGGTGTCTGTCAGTTGCTATACAGGCGTACCTCAAGAGATACCGCAGGTTCAGTTCCAGACCACTGCAGTAAAGTGAGCATTGCAGTAAGCCAATCAAATGATATAAAAGTTATGTTTACACTGTACTATAGTCTATTAAGTGTGCAATAGCACTGTGTCTAAATAAATGATGTGCCTACCTTAACTTAAAAATACTTAATTGATAAAATGCTAACCATCATCCAAGCTTTCAGTGAGTCACAATCAGTCATCACAGATACTGTAACAGATATATTATTAAAAATAATTTTCCAAACTATGACACAGAAACACACAGTGAGCAAGTGCTGTTGGGAAAATAGCGCTGATAAGCTTGGCTCAATGAACAGGGTACCTTCAATTTGTAAAAAACACAGTATCTGTGAAACACAGTAAAACATCTATCTCCCTAGATAGGTGATGCAAGTATGTGTATACATATGTTTGTATATCTGTGTCTGTCTGTATATATGTATATGTGTTCACATACATTATTAGTATTTGCATTCTGTTTATGAAGCATTTAAAGGACCACTTTTACATTTCTTTCCTTTTACATCCAAAAGACTAATAATATGACCTCTAGAGGTGCAAAAAATTAAAAGAAAAGAATCAAACAAAACAATTGGGAAGGCCCTTTTCCCTTGAGTCACCAAATTTCTAATGTGTAAATACACTCAGAGCTCGGCTTGTGTTGTTTGCTCAGAGGAATGACTTCATAATTCTTTACCACATCTTTGAAAGTTACCAAGGATCTGTTTTACTTTACCATCCGGAGGAGTTGGTGTCTTTCTTTTTGTTTTAATGAATATGAATGCTGCATCTCATATTTTCCATTCATATGTCAAAACTCGGCCCAGCTTCCCAGAACTTGTCCCTGCCCTTCTTCTGTTTTCAGCCGGACTCCCAGGCTCAGCCTTGGTGTGCCTTACCAAACACGCTCCTGCGGGGCTGGCCCCATGTGCTCATGGTAGTGAAGTCTGTGGTCAGGAAAGGGGACACTGAGAGTGAGCAGAGCAGCGGCGGGTAGCTTGAGTTAGAGGAAAGTGACGTTTCACGTTCTCAATAAACTAGATACAGCTTTTTTCAGACCTAAGGAAAAGATGCCTTCCAAAGCCAAATATAAGGTTTATTTTTAAATTATCCACAGTTTGGATTATTATGCCATAATTCCCTGCCACTATGATGAGTAATCAGAAATTAATGGTAGAGGCATTTCTGCAGTGTGGAATCGGTGGGCTCTGCTCAGGTGGAGAACCAAGGAGAAGTTAATTTAAGTCCATTATAGCTGCCTCCCTCCCAAGCAAGTGGCCTCAAGCACAATGCCTTTAGTTCAGCTACCAGCTGCTGCTCATGCCCCTTCTGTGGGGCTTTGCTACAGGAGGGAGCTTTTTCATTCGCACACAGCTCTGTCCACTTGGTAGCATGCATGTTGTTGTTTGTCTCTGTATTTATTATTTGGGGTAGAATGAGACGTCCACTTGCTTATTTTCATATGTCTTTGACTCCTGGTTGCTGACATAGGAACACATCTGCTGATTTCACCTGATCCCCTGGGCTTGCTTGTTGTTTTAAATTAGAATAGCAACATTTTTGTGGAGTCTGCTTTAACATTCCCCCATTTCTCACCTAAGAAAACCCAAGTGCTCTCTAGGAATGGTGCAGGAAACAGAGCTGGCTCCCCCATGGATCTTAGAGTTGTAGCTTTTCAGAGTGATTTTGGATCAGTATTAAAACTTTCTGTCCTCTCTCTAAGGTAGGTAGAATAGAAGTTACTTTTATACTCTGCCCAGACTTGAAGACTCAAATAATTTTTTAAGAAAACAAAGTGTCCCTGTACACTTTCTGTGGTAGGATTGCGATTGTGCATACTAGTCATCTTCCCTTTGGAGATGTGTTGGGTAGTGGAATTGGGGGTGGAGGGCGCTGAGGGAGGGAGAGTGGCGGTTACCACTTGCTGGATCTTAGCACAAGGTTGGTGGTGTCCAGAGGTGACTGATATACCTTAATAATTTCAGACTGTCATATGTCACTTTGATCCCCTCTTCGAACTAGACTTAACCCAAACCTCTCTCTAAAGATAACTTACAACAGAGGACAAAGTGGTCACTTAACATTTCTTACAATGACTTGTGCATTAGAACAACTTGTAGACCAAATTCCTAATGTTTTCTTTCTTGTGTGTAAACTGTCTGAAATTATTTGATATGTGTTTTAGAAAAACACACCACCTTTTTAAGCCCTATGGCTTATATAAGATGATTTCTGGAACATAAATGGGCAAATAGTATGTAGAATGTCATTGAATCATTATATCACTATCACTGGTCCTGGGGTTGCCAGGCCTTTTCTGATTATCAGATGCAACAAATGACGTCCAATTTTATTGACCAGTTTGGCTTCAATGATGAGAAGTTTGCAGATCAAGATGACATTGGCAAGTGAGTATATTATTCTGTTTCCGTAACTGTACCCTCCAGTTCTTGAGAGACCTTGTGGGGTTGTCTTGGATTGTCCTGAATTAATTTGCATTCATGAGCTGGGAGGAGCCTGTCTTCCACCGTGTTCCTTTAGTTCGAGCCTGTCCAGCACTGAGGCACCGGAAGGACAAGTAGCAGAATGTCACTCTCACAAAGACGGATTGCTGTGAAACTTGACCTCTTTCACAGAGCTTTACTTTTATATAGATTAAAAGTTCTTTAGAAACTCTATAGTCATTGTACCCTTTTAGGTTTTAGTGTTAGATAGCATTATCTAAAATAACTAATCCCTACTTTAGTGCACCATTTGGTGTAAGCTTGTCTCCTTTTTACAGCACACGGTGGGGTTGTATCATGGCAGGAGCAGATCCACTGTGCATATTTTCTTGTCTACATGACTCTCCGTTAGGCAGAGGGTTTTCTGCAAGAGCCAGGCAGGCACACCACCAATTCATTCTGCAGTCAGGGTAAAAAGCACAGAAGTGGGAATTGATGGTACTGTACCAAATTAACAGACAGAAGATGTGTGGGTGATCCAGAGAACTGAAAACAAATGGTCTAGCATCTGACCTTGGGAAAGAGGTATTTATAAGTAAAGTATTTATGAGAGGATTGTTATGGCTCACTGAGAGCAGAGTTTGAATATCAGATGCAACAGTGGGTAGCTGTTCTCACATGCACTCCGGATGGTTCTCAGGATCACCCAGGATCTGTACAGGTCCTGGCCAGTGGCACTCATTTTAGTGTGATTTCACTGCAGCCAGTAGATGCTGTTGTCTGTCACAAGTTGCAGTGTGTGGGCATGTGAGACGCTAAAAGGCTTTCGGCGCTCTAATAGTGCCATACAGCATGCTGTGTTGGCACAGTGAACTAGAGGCTTCATGATGAACAGACCCAGTCACAGGCTGTCAGCTGCCCTAAAAGTTGGCTCATTTACATCTGAAAAGAGCGAGTGTTTGTGTCTATACCCAGGAATGCTTACACCAAAACTGCAGGCTCCCCATGTGGCTTCTCAGCATTTGCCTGTCTGGACATTCAGTAAATTGTACTAGTTAGGAATCCACAACATTTTTTAAATTTATTCTTGGAATAATGATTGATTAGAACAGATCTTTTAAAATTACAATAGCCCCATGTACTGAAAAATTATGTTTACAGGCTGTGAATTCTTTTACTTTCTTTCCTGATTATATCATATTATAACAATATTTTGGGGCTGTGTGTATCTTGCGTATGCAGTTGGCTAACCCCAGAGAAAGCTCAGTGTCTGACAGCTTTTCATCTTTTGTACCTTTCCATGTTTTGACACGTTTCTTCTTTGCAGATAACCTTTTTCTTGGTGTTTTAAGCCCTCTGAACCATGGTTGCTACCTGTGGATATTAAAAATATTTTATGGGAAGGCTTCCGGGGTTTGTTTATTATGTCTCAAAAGGCTTCTTCCACCCCAGCCTCCTTGTCCTATATAAATTCCTTAATACCAAGAGTAGAGGTATCATTTAATAAAAGCAGGGGTTTTCATTTAGTTTTGTTCTTACCTATGTAGATTGTAATGGTAGTGAAATATTTCATGAATACTGTTTCTGTGAGTCATAGGTAATTAATTATTCCTACATTTATATTTTGTTTACAGTGTTTCTTTTGATCGGGTATCAGACATCAACTTTACTCTCAATACAAACGAAAGTGTGAGTATTAGCATTTCCTGTCATGAACAACAGAATATATGAGAGATGGACAGGTACGAACTGGGTTTTGTCAGCAGCACGCACGTGGATGCCGTGTGCCCTAGGGCCTCTGTACTCTAGAAAACTTCGTCTCAGATTGGTGTGACTTCACCCCCCTCACATGACCTGCCTGGCCCTTATGGGCATTTGAGTTTGCAATCCTGATTTAAGTTGTGAAAGGGCTAATAAAACGAGGGTGACTTGTAATTATAGCAAAGACATTTAGCTTCAAAGACTGTAGTTTAACTCCAACCTGCTGCCTTTTATGTCTGCTTTATGTTACCAGGTGAGAAACAAAGGCCACATCAGAGCCAGCCTCTCATCACTAGACAGGTTTCAAATAGCAACCCAGCCATATCAGCAAAGTGGGATTAATGCCATCTGAATGGGCATAGTCTTAGGTCTTTGTGTTGATTAGCATGATGAGAGAGCTCTGGTTTATTTGCTAATGTGATAAGGTAGAAATTGCTTTTTGGGCTATTAATGTTTATCACTGCTTAGCAGGACAGGTAAAAACCGAGGAAATACAGGTTGCTTTCCCATTAGTTCAGATCTGGGAGAGCCTCTCAGGCGGGTGGTGCAGGCAGGCTCCTGGAATCGACGTGCTTTTACTAGATGATGGTGGCTCCATGAGGACAGCGTAGGCTTCTTGCAGGTCAGTTTTGAATCCAGTCTTTAGGGGGGACCTTTCTGTTGTTACTTAAACAGAAGCTGACATTATATGCATATATTTTATTTTGGTGTATGTGATAGGCACCGTTTATAAAAGGAAACAAAAGAATGCAGTTTACATGGGTAACTTTTGGAGAAAATAACTTGATTTTTAAATTTTTTCTCTTTCTCTCATTTTTATTTAGGGAAATATTGCCTTGTTTGAAGCATGTTGTAAAGAAAGAATACAGCAGTTTGATGATGGTGGCTCTGATGAGGAAGATATCTGGGAGGAAAAGCACATTGCATTTACACCAGAATCCCAAAGACGATCCAGGTGAGAGAATTTGTTACGGCGATAGTAGTGTCCAGCCCATAATGCAGAGATGATCACTAGGAGACATAGACTGTATCCTCTGCAAACGTGTGTGTTGGACCCAGAGACGGTGCCTTTGTCACAATCAGAATGTGCTTGTTGGTTGATGTGAGCTGGTGCCAGGACTCTTGCCAACATTGTGACACGTGTGTGCACAGGTCAGGGCCATCTACCTGAAAGTGCTCAGACATTGCTCCACACAGCCTCTTTGGAATGGGCAACAATGGCTGAGGCAGGTGGTCTACAATCGTTCGCATATTTACGGGTTTCCTTCCATCAACCATAGCAGCTACCGAGTTAGGTGTTGTTTCTTATAAAGGACTGAAAGGAGGGGAAACGTTTCTAAGAAGTTCATCTACTTGGGAGACAGAGTCATGTCAGCTGATGCCCATCAGGATCGGCCCAGTCTCCCCACAACCCTCCCTAAGTTTTCAAGTCCCTCTGTCACAGGGGCCTAAATGACTTTGCTTCTGTGCACAGGGGGTTCTTGTCATCTGAGTGTTCATTGCCAGAATCGTCACGGTTAAGAGAACATCAGCCGAAGTTCTGTTTTATTTCATTTATTTTTAGTAGTAATATTTTCACATGGCATACAATTGAAAGGAAACAGTATACAATAAAAAGTAGAACTCCCCTGTCTCCCCGTCCTCCATTCCTCCTGCTGGACAGTGTTCTAGCCTCGCCTGTTGTCACGTGCCCTGGCACTCAGGTTGTGTCTCTTAAGAATGCTTGTTGTTGCTTCAGGTTGCAGAAGACCTACCCGTGGCTTAGACCAGTAAAGGTACATTTGTCTCACAGTCCAGACCTGTTAAAGTCATCAAACCCAGCCTCTTTCTTTTATTCCCACTCCATCATCTTTTGCATGTTGGTTTATCTACCTTGTGATCCCAAGGTAGCTGCTGCAACCTAGGAGTAGATAAAGAGATAAGTATCTTCATAGTGGATTTTTGTTTGTTTATTTTTAATTTTTCTAAGTGATAAAGCCTGCGTCGAACTTGTTTGTTACCATTTGCTATGAAATTTTGGTCCTTGTGTTGATTGAATTCACTGGTTGGCCATATCCTACTACCATTTATCCTCTGGAGGTGGGCCGTCCTCACACATCCTAACAGCGGTGTGGTACCTGCTGACACTGCCATCTGTAGGCAAGGCAGCATAGAGCATTAGCATGGCAGTGGGACAGGACAGTCTCCTGGGGGAGATGACAGTTGATACCCAGAGGAAACACGGGATGATTAGAGAAGGCAGTTTTTTTAGTTATTTAATAGCTCATTGAGGTATAGTTGTCATATAATAAACTGCATTTACTTAAATTGTACAACATAAGTTTTGACATATATATGTGTCCATGAAACCATCCTCCCAGTCAAGGTCATCACCTGCAAGTTTCCTCAGGCTCTTTTGTAATCCCTTCCCCCATCTGCTTTCTGTTCCTTTAAATTATTTGTGTTTTCTAGAGTTATAGAAATGAAATCACATAATGTGTACATTTTTGTGTAGTTTCTTTCACTCAGCATTATTTTGAGAGTCATCCATGTTGGGTAAGTGTCAGTGGTTCATTGCTTTTTTGTTGCCCAGTGTTACCCCATTGAATGGATGCACTACAATTTGTTCATTTACTTACCTGCTGAGGGACATTGACTTGTGTCCAGTTTTTGCAAGAATAGACTGTGGTAAGTTAAAGATTTGTACTGTAAACTGTAAGGCAACACCAACAAAACAATTACAGATAGTAAGTCAACAGAGGAAACTCATCATAAAAAGAAATCTAAAAAATAAAAGGCAACTGGGGCAACAGAAAACTAATACCAAGATGCTGGTATTAAACCTAAGTAATCACTTAAATAATATCAAATAAATGATACAAAACCTCAATTGGAATGCGGAGATTATCAGATTGGTAAGAAATAAAGTCGTGTGTGTGTGCCGCCTGTGAGAAATAATTTAAATATAAAGGTACAAAACGGGTTAAAAGAAAATATTGAGGGCCTTTATTATATTAAAGTGTTATTTCAAAGGAAAGGGATAAAGAAAAGGTCATAAAGGGTCAATTCATTAAGAGGACAGAACAGTTCTAAATGTCTGCATACCTAGTAACAGAGCCTCAAAATACATGGAGCAGAAACTGACAAACCTGCACAGAGAGGTAGACAATTACATTTACGATCATATATTTCAACACTCTTCTCTCAGAAACTGGTAAAACTAGGTAGAAATCAGTAGGTAGAGAACACTTAAATAATACTGCCAACTAACTTGAGCTGCTGGACATTAATAAAGCACTCCACCTAGTAACAGCAGGATATGCATGCTTGTATGAAGTTTGTACCTGGAGAGACTTAATTTGGGCCATAAAACAAGTCTCAATAAATTCCAAAGGTTTCAAGAGCACAGAGTATGTTCTCTGACTCTAATGGAAGTAAATCAGAAATCAGTGATAGGAAGATTTCTAGAAAATCTCCAAATATGCAAAAACTAAGTAACTTGAGTTAAGAAGATATCAAAGGGTAAGTTGCATAGTATTTTGAATTATAAGAAATGAGAGCACAGCATTTGGAGGATTTAAAGGATCCAGTGGTTAGACCATTTTTAGCACTAACTGCTTATATTAAAAGAGAAGAAACATCTCAAATCAGTGACCTTAGCTTCCACTTTCAAAGGCTGGAATGAAATGCAAAACAAAAATAATAGAGAAAATCACTGCAATCAGAAGTTGTTCTTTGAGAAGATTAATCAAGTTGAAATACTGCATCCCTGTAGACAGAATGGTCAGTGCTGACGTGCAGCGTTACATATTTCGGCTCTTTCCTTTGTTCCTAGTTCGGGGAGCACGGACAGCGAGGAGAGTACAGACTCTGAAGAAGAAGATGGGGCCAAACAGGACTTGTTTGAGTCCAGTAGTGCCAACACGGAGGACAAGATGGAGGTGGACTTGAATGAACGTAAGTTGCCTTCTTCTTCCGAATTAGTTGCTATGTGTTGCTGCCTAATTTTAACACTGGGCAAACGAGTGCAGCATCTGAGATGACCCCCGAAGGAACGGTTGGGCTTTGAGGTTTTGAGGATCAGGCCCGAGGCCAGGAACATGTGGTACCTCTGATAGTTGGGCCTCTCTCCCTCTGCTGTGGAAGCTGCTGCGAGTCTGGGTAGAGGTCAGCACACTGGGAGTGTGGTTCACTGGCTGTGGGGAGGGTGCCGCCACAGAAGGGGAGGGGCCGTCCATAGTGGGACAGTGAGGAGATACTGTGTGTGTAGAATCATGAATTCCCTAAAGCAAAGAAAACACAAGAAACTTAAACAGCTTTAAATGGGTTCTTCAGGGTTTTTTTTTATGTAGCTTGTAACCCTAAATTTGCCCAGCAAAGTATGTATTTATGCCCTGCTACTTGCTAAGAAGGCTTTTGGTAGCTGCCTTTAAGGAAAACTGTCAACTTCTAAACGTTCAGACACATTTTTAGGAGAGCGAGCCCTGTACATTGGTGCCGGGCTCCTGAGGCTGACATGTTTCTGGTACTCCAGGAAAGCCCGTAGGTCCCTGGGGCTGAGGCTGAAAGCCAGCTTGGGCCACAGTGGGGCTGTCAGAACTTTAGAGCTGCCTGGACTTTATGGAGTTCTTGCCCTGTGCCAGGTGCTGGACCATGGCCTGTGTTCTGGGGCTTCGAGTCTCGGGGGTGGGGACTCAAAAGAATTGTCTAATGAGAATAGGTGCTGGCGGCTTGCCAGGTGCCTGCACAGACCTTCCAGAGCACACAACACCAAGGGCAGGAAGGGCGCAGCCAGTGTAAAAGAGGAAACAGCTAGTATGAAGGCACAGACACCCACAAGCTGCTTCACACGGCTCCAGGAAAGGAGGAGATGGTGGAAGATAAGTCCGGAGAGCAGTACAGAAATTTTATTCTGAAGGTTGTTGAATAGCTCTTGAGGATTTTGCTAAGATTGACATTATTGAATCTGTTTCAAGATGATTGGTTATGGCAACAGTGTGAAAGGGATTAAAAAGCCCATGCTGGGGACAGGAAAGCTGTGAAGACACTTGTTGTTACATGTAATGTAAGAAATGACAAGGGCTGATAATGACAGGGACCAGGCAGCAGGGAGAGAGGAGAGGACAGAGGCCCCGATCTTTTGGCTCTAGAATGTGTGGTGGGCTGTTGGCAGGTGTATGGGTAAGCAGTGGTAAGTGCGCTCACAGTGTTGGGCCGTAGCTCTCTAGAATGTCGTCATGTCGCAAAACTGAAACTGTACCCACTGAACAACTCCCCAGCCCTTCTCCCCAGCCAGCGGCAGCCCTGGCAGCCCCCGTTCTGCCTTCTGTTTTGGTGACTCTGACTCCAGTGGCATCGTGCAGTGTTAGTCCTTTGTGACTGGCTTATTTCAGTCAGCCATGGCTTCCAGGGTTACCCATGTTGTGGCAACCCTGGAAGACAGGATTCCCTTCTTTTTTCAGGGTGAATAATAGCCTGGAATCTCAGTATTTGAATGGCTGGGTGGATAATAAGTGACTTGGTGTGTGTGACTTAATGCCCCTGTCGTCGTGGCTCTAGAACTGGGTGTGGGGACAGGGAGAGGCAGGTGGAGCATTATGGATGGAAGTCACACTCACCCTTCCTCCCGCTGGCTCCTGGCTCTGTCCCTGAGGAAAGGCTTCCTCTGTGTCGACAGACCTGCAGGGGTCTGGGTGGGGCGGTCTCCTGGCTGGGACCCCTCTCCCTGGCTCTGAGAGCCTCTGCCATCCTCACCGGCCCCCAAGGCTTCTCTCACAGGGTTCCTGCACTCCTCTAATGCTGGACTGATTCTGGGGAGCTAATCTGAGGCCAAATATCCCAGAATGGTGACGACAGGAAGATTGTTTTTATGGAGCCTAATTTGGTTGTGAAGTGGAACTTTGATTTGGAAGGGGTGATTCCAGAGCTTTGATTATGGTGGACAGGCAGAAATAGCTGGTTGACTTCTGAGGTTCAAACATTCAAGCATCCTCCCTTCTTAGCATTGGAGCCCTGCCACACTCAGATTCCCTAGCCTGGCAGTCCTTCTGTACAGCCTGAAGGCTCCCAGCGGTAATAGAAAATACCCCTGATCAAGAACAATGGGTCCCTCACCCAGCCTGTCCCTAGCCAGGATCTGGGGATTCAGTGTAAGTTCTGAGTGGTGTATGACGAGAGCAAACGGAAAGAGACCTAGTGCTATCTGAAGGGCCCCATCTCTGGGAAGTTAACGTTTATACAGAGGCCTGCAGGTTTGTTCCAGACTCGGCATTGTGCCGTATGGGGAGAGGGCCGCTGCAAACTGGAAGGGGGTCCCTCTGACCTCTGAAATCTTCCTGTGTCTGCAGGACTTAGAAAGTAAATAGGAAAACTCTTTTCTGTGTGTTCTCAAAACTTTACTTCCCACACCAAACATGCAGGTTTTCCCACTCAGACCAATTCTGCAGTAACGGCTGGGTGTCTGACAGTTCAGTTCCAAAACTGTTTACCTGGAGTCAAGAGTCAGACCTTACAGGGAAGGGCTCAGTCCCTCGGGATTGCCCCCAACTTCAGGTGCCAAGCTGAGTCTGGGCACCTGGTGCTTAGGACCAGCCTGCTGTATTTCGGGAGTTCCCATGACCTCTTTGGGCTCAATTATTTGCTGGAGTGGCTCACAGAGCTCCGGAAGGGCGGGTACTTACTATCACCGATTCATCGCAAAGGGTGTTTTAAAGGGTACAAACAAGCAGCCGGATGAAGTACTGAGTAGGACGTGGTCCGGAAGAGTCCCGGGCACAGTAGCCTAGAGTTTTGCCCTCCTAGAGTTTGGAGTGTGCTACCCTCCCTTCACCAGCCCAGAAGCTCTAAACCCCTACCACTTGAGTGTTTTAATGGAGGCCTCATTAAATAGGTATAATCGATGAGATCATTGGCCATTAGGGATTTTCTCAACTTCCACTCCTGTAGGAGGTTGGAGAGGATATGAGGTGAGGATGGCTGAAAGTCCCAACCCTCTAATCAGTGGTTGGTTCCCCTGGCAACCAGCTCCCATTCCGAGGCCCTCCTGGAGCCCCTAGCCACCAGTCCATCATTAGCATACAGAAAGACTGCGCCCCCCAGAAGAGTCCAAGGGTTTGGGGGAATGGGGGCAGAGACCGAATATGTATTTCTCATTCTGTCACTGGAATCTTTCCTCTTGTTTGTGCTGACTGCAGTGGGTTGCAGGGGGTCCATTAAAAGTATGAAGTGGGGCCAGATCTGGACTATGAAGCATTAAGGTTTCCAATTTATTGCAATTAAATAGTTAACATACTCTTTTTTTTTTTAATAGACTTTTTTAGTTTGGAATAATTTTAGATTTACAAAAATTTGCAAAGATTGCGCAGGGAGTAGCTGTATACATTTCACCCGTCTTCCTCCCAGTGTTAATATGACCTTGCATTGTTAAAACAAATTAATATTAGCATATTCTTTTATGTGTGGCTTTACATCCTTATGTGATACTTCCATTGGGAAAAAAATCTTAGAAATGTGAATTGCTAAGGGATCAAAGGAAGCATAGTTCTAATAGGGTGGATGTCAGATTGTCCTCTGCGTGTGCCATTCCCACTCTTGTGGAATACCTTTCCCCACAGCTCTGATCTTTTTCATCATTGTGAATCTGTTCCTGAAAAATACCTTGTATTACATTAAACTACTGACATAGTCAAAAAACAAAATTCCTCCCTCTTTTCAGCACCCAACTGGTCAGCCAACTTCGATGTGCCCATGGAGACAACCCATGGTGCTCCCTTGGACTCTGTGGGGTCTGATGTGTGGAGCACAGAGGACCCAATGCCAACTAAAGAGACGGGCTGGGCTTCCTTTTCCGAGTTCACAGCTTCCCTGAGGTGAGTGTGCGTGTGCCCGCTCTCTCACCTCCCTGCGGGACAACAGCAGGCAGCGTGCGTTTGCTGTTGGGCTTGTCGGTCACCTTGCTGCCCTTTGGAGATGAAGGCAGTGCCTTCACCAGGATTGAAGCCTGCATGGGGGAGATACTGACACAGCCGTGAGTCACACAACTGACCACCCTCCTCCTTCCCTTCATTCAGGGTGAACCGGAAAAGAGGGTAGGTCAGGAACAAAGCAGCCAGGAAGATGTGACGCCCAGGAAGTCACTCAGCCGAGTGCTGACCAGGGTGGCATCTTCCAGACTCTCCTGGCCCCACTGAGCTGTCAGGCGGCACCGAGGGACCAGGAGCCGGGGGAGCCAGGGTTCCTGTGGGGGTGGGGGGGCACTACAGGAAAATGCCAGATGCATCTTGCATTCAACAGACACTCTGAACTCGTGTTGGATTTACAGCTGGTCTAGTGCTATGAATCAAGGGGTGTGGCAGCTGTAGCTCTCAGTCATGTTACGTAAATTATTCCCAATGAAAGCAACCAACATTTCATAATTTTCCTCAATAGTATTGTCAGTGTCTGAGTGGTAACCGGATCTCATGTCTTGTTAACCTTGGTTTGATGAGCTGAACACATTTGGTCACTGAAAAAATACCTCCCACTGCACCATGTGGACGGCTGCTGCGTTCCTGCTCTGACAAGTGATGGTGCTGCCCAGGCATAGGTAGTGGAAGGGATAGGCAGGCAGGCCGACTGTTGGAGCTGGCAGTCACCATCTCAGACAAACCAGAGTCAGCTGCAACCTACTTTTTGCTGCTTTAGAGCAGCTCTAGTAAAAGCACGAAGCTGTTATTCAGAGGTGAAAGTGGGATTTGTGGAAAATGTCTCCAAACTACTAGGAATTATTTTACTGACTCTACTCCAGTGTCGGACAGTGAAGTTTCCACCTCTTGCTTTTTTCTCTCTTCCTGTAGCTGGAGGATAAGAGCCCTGGTCCCTTGAGAAGGTTGAAGCAGCTCCTTTCTGTTTCCCCCTTGTGCACAGGTCGTGCTTTCTCGTTAAATACCATTTAGAGGGCCAGGCCCTCTGGGCAGTTCGGCTCAGGGAAGTAAGGGATTTTGTACAAACGGCAGTGTAGGTACAGCTGACACTGCAGCAGACCACTGCCGTCCCTGCCCTGGGAACCTGGTGACTGTGTGAGGGTGAGAGGCGGGGCATTTTGAGCCTGTCCAGAAGCCTTAAAGTGGTCCCCACATTCCTGCTCTGCTCTCTCAGCAGCACATGTACCTGCGCACCTCAGCTAACACTTCAGGCAGCCCTCCACACTTGGATTCATGGGCTGTTGGGGCCTACGACCAACTGCTGATGTCTTCCCAGTGGAACTGGAACTGATTTTCAAGTTTTTGTGAATAATGGTAACTGTTGCCTCAGTTACTGCTAACATCTGAATTTTCTCTTTTTAAAAGTACAAAAGATATCTTAAGGAGTAATTCTCCAGTGGAAATGGAAACCAGCACTGAGCCATTGGACCCTCTCACTCCCAGTGTGGCTGCTTCGGCAGTGCAGCCTGAAGGTGGGTACAGAGGGCACCCAAGTGCCCAGCCGGTGGACCTGGCATTCTGTTGTTCAAGCTTTAACTTCACGTTGCATAGCCAGTTATTCAGTCCTGTCAATGTCCAGAAAAGGGAATGGGCCTGGGAAGAATACCTTAGCCTGCAGTGCCGTGGAACCAGATTAGTCATATATATTCCAAGCCCAGCCCTGTTCTTCTGTCCTTTGGAGTTTACTTTGTGGGAGCATGTGTGTGTATCTGGGCGTGTTTGAGGCTGTGGGGCTGGCTGTTTTCTTTACAGTGGTCCGGAGTATCCAGTGTGTTGTCTTATTACTCAAAGTGTGTGCACTGTCCCTTGGAGAGGCCCTGGGCTGTTTTCAACCTCCTGAATAGGGCTTTGAGAGGTGCGGGCAGGGGGACGAAGTTAGTGAAGGGGGGAGTCATGAATTGGTAGTATGTGCAGGGAAGAAAGAAGTAAGTTCTTACAAAAAGAAGTGAAGATATGGGTGGAGGATATAAGAACCAAGGGGCAGGGAGAAGTAGTAAGGCCAGAAGCGAGTGATGGCCGGTCATTCTTCCCCTCAGCAGTTCCACACATGGGGTCGATTATCCCCATTTTGTGCATCAGAAAATAGAGGCACAGCTTCTGTGCCTTACCCGAGGGTCACCAGCTCGTAAGTGAGAAGGTAGGGATCTGAATGCTGGAAGTCTGACTTCAGAGCCAAGCTTGTGATTGGTTATGGAGCGAATGATCCACAAGGAACCAGAAGAAAATGACTTTTAAAAAAGAAATACCCAAGTGGGACAAGTGAGAGGGAGAAGGATGGTGAGGACAGGACAGCAGACAGGCTGAGAGTGAGGTACTCCGGGGTCTTGGTAGGTGGGGGCCGCTCTGCCCAGCTGTGGAGGGCCTCAGGAAGAGGGAAGGGTGTAAGCTGGGAGGCTGCGGCGCGTCTCTAGCGAGCAGTAGTGAGAAGTCTGTGCCCATCAAGAATTGGCCCAGGCAGCAGTTGGCAAAACACCTCACTTTTTTCTCTCTCCTCCAAGCAGAAGATGTGACGTGGGGTGGCTGGGTTGGCACAGAGGGTGACATTGTTCTTTTGTGGCGGTCTGTGGGACCGCCTGCTGTGTGTTTTTTTCAGCACCAGGCAGTGTGGCCATGGAAGCCAGCTCTGATGGAGAGGAGGATGCGGAGAGCACAGACAAGGTGACTGAGACAGTGATGAATGGTGGCATGAAGGAAACGCTCAGCCTCACTGTAGATGCCAAGACAGAAACTGCCGTCTTCAGAAGGTGACCAGGGGTAGATCGCGCTGCAGCTGCAGGTGGCTGGGAGGGCGGTAGGGGAGAAACTTCTGGTAGTAATATCTTTAATTTGATTCACATGTGGGCTCAGATGTTGGCCTGAATCTGGAACCTCTGAAACCTCTGTCACTTTTAATGAGGAGTTGGCGAGTTTTGGGTTCCTAAGTAACCCCCTTCCCTCCATAGTATTCAGAAGACTATAGTTTAAGTCTAGTGGATTCAAAATACATGAGTTTTAAAAAATGACAATCTTGAGTCATAGTAGAAATTGACTTGTATTCAGGCTGCAGAGCTCTCAGCCCATCAAAACCAAAGGTTCAACATCATGCAGATCATTTTCTCCAGACACAGTGCAGCCTTAGAATTCAGTAGCAAAATGATAGCTTTAAAAATAATATGGAAATTAAACTCATTTCTGAACTTATGGGTCAAAAAGAAAGAATCACACTGGAAACTAAAATCTTAAAACTGAAAGAGGAATGAGAAAACTTGTACCAAAACTTGCAGACTTCAGCTAAGTCAGCTCCTGGAGCTCTGGTCATGGTGTTAGACAGACCATCTCAGACCCTGGCACTGCTGAGATCACAGCAAAACAAAGCATCAAAGAGAAAAGCTAATTATAGGCCACATGTGGGCGTGTGAGCACCAGGCTTTAAAGTGAAGACGGCAAACCACATCCAGGAACATTTCTAAGTCATGACCAAGAATGTATCACATGAGTATGAGGATATTGTATCATTGTAAAGATGACTAAAGGTAATTCACAGACAGGTAAAAGGATAAAAACCATTTGGAAGCAGTGGATGGAGAAACTGTTTGATAAAAATTAAGCTGTTCATGGGTTTTTTGCTAAAGGAATAGAAATAACTTTTTTTGCCTAGAAATAGAAAGTAGCTCGCTCTAGCACTGATACAAGTGTCCACTGAGAAAATCTACGGAAGACTTTATTCTTAGTAGTGAAGTGCTAGAAATTCCTCTAACAGTGTGACCCAAACAGTAAGACCTACAGCTGCTGCTTCTCGTCAGCCCTGTGCTGGTGGTCTTAGCAAATACAGCATAAAATAAAAACTGCAACATACAAAGATGTCAAAGCAACAAAATGGTTATTGTTGATAGGTTATGATTTTCTACCTTAAATTTTCCAATTGAATCTACAAATACTAGAATTACTAGGAGAGGTGGGCCAGGCTTATTGGACACACACATCAGTTGCATCTTACAAACCAACACACGAGGTCCTGTGTGTGCCACCACTTTTTTTTAAAAGTAAAATGATAACCCTTCTGTGTGAGTTAACTTAAGATGGAAGGATAAAATAAAGACCTAAATAGGGAAATGTGCCATGTTTGTTAAGGGGAGGATATCCATGGCATTTCTTGTCTGTAAAATGAATGCATTTCTCATCAAAATCCCAATTGGGTTTTTCATGGAAATTGAGGAACTGATGGCAATACTCATTAAGAAGACCAGATCATTTTACAGAATAAAGTGAGGGGGGATCACCAGAGTAATACCAGGATGTAACTCTCAGAGCTGTTACTGAGATGATACAGCTTTAGCACAGTTACACAAATAGAGCCCCATTCACTTCCATGACCTTGATACATGTTAGAATGACATTAAATTTAGTGAGGGAAAAATGGACTTATAAATAGTATAAATTGTAGAGGGAAAAAAAGCTTTGTCTCAGCATAATTATGAAAGGTAAAACTACACAGCTTTCAGAAAACAACATAAGAGAGTATCTTTATAATTTGGAGGCCAAAGATTTTTCTACTATAAAAAAGCCAAACCAGAAAAGAAGATTGATAAATTTGACTTTATTTAATTTCTAGTATTCCAAAAGAAATGATAAAATGAAAAGACAAGGTACAACCAGCAAAGAAAGAGTCCATAGCAGGACAGAGCAAAGACCTCATATCCGTAAGAAAGAGACAGACAATCTAATAATTTTAAAGATGACAAAGGATGCAAATAAGCCATTATGTGTGGAGGCAAACAAGGAGCAAACCAACACCAGAGGAAGTGGCCTCACAAGTAAATGGGATGTGTGGGTTGCAGTAAGGATTTAGTGCTGTTTCATGCATATGAGCCTGCTCATTCCTATCTTAAGTAGCTGCAGAAAATAGGAAGAGTGCAAAAACTGCCGGGATCTTTTTACAAGGCAGTGAAATCTTAATTCCAAAACCAGAGAAGGATAATTATAGAAAATGATCAGCTTATGTCACTTACAAGCCAACTAAATGCAGAATCCTATAGAAAGTATTTGCTAACTGAATCCAACAGCATATTAAAAGTAATTCATAATGATCGGTTAGAGTTATCCCTGGACTACTGGGGTGGTTCACCACAGGAACATCTGGCAGCATAATTCACCATATATTAACAGGCTGAAAGGAAATCATTTGATATTTTTGATGAAGCTTTCAATTAAGTTCCATACCTGTATGTGACTAAAACTGTGAGCATGCAGGAGTAAAAGTGGGTTTCCTTAACTGGTGAAAGTTCAGCACCAAAATGCTGCAGCAGAAATGAGAGTTAGTGGAATTTTAGGTGCATGCACTTGAAGGTAGGGAACAAGCAGGATGTAAGCCCATGACCAATGCCACGCGCAGGTGTAGTCACCCCTGAGCAGTGCTGCGAGGAAAGAAAGAAAGAAAGGTGTAGGTAAAGACTGGTGGGAAATGATCAACCTGTTGTTATTTGCAGATACAAGTGATCAGCTACAGCCACATCAGGAGCAAACTTTTGTAACTAATAAATTCGGCAAAGCTTTCTGGGTAAGAGATCATTATTAATACTCAGTAGCCTTCCTGTACATCAGTAGTAAAGCACCCAGAATGTAACAAAAGGCAGAGTACCAGTCACAAAATGCATTCAAGTATAAATTGTTCAGGAATTATCTTAACCCAAATAGCTGTAGAGAAAATGTAAGAGTGCCAAGGGAAGCAGCCATGGCAGCAGGCCTGGACAAGTGGAGGCCACCGTACGTTGTGAAGGGACAGCTCAGTGCTACAGAGACGTCTGCCATCACCAAATTGATCTTTAAGTTTAATGCAGTCTAATCAAAATTTCAGCTGAATTTTTTAAATGCACTTGATAAATATACTCTAAAGTGTATGTGGCATAATAAAGGGCCCCAGATTGCTTAGAGAACCATAAGGAAGATTAAATAAGAGGCTTGTCCTGGCAGATGTTGGGTTATACTGCAAAGTCAGAATAATTGAAACGGTGTGATGTTAGCACACAAATAGTTTACAGGGGCCAGTGTGATGGAAGAGACAGCTCAGTGACAACAGGAATGGCTACTGGGTGGTGGGCAGGGAAGCCAGCTCTCATGAGGGAACAGGGGAATCTGCTGTCCATGCGAAGGCCCTCTGGGTGGAGTAGAGACTGAAGGACAGGACAGGAAGGACAGGAGCACGTGTGCCAGGCGCTGCTCTCCAAACACTCATCGTATTGACTCATTTATTTCCCTCAGGGACCCCATATGGTAAGTACAGTGGTTATTGCCCCACTTTCCGCATGAGAAAAATGAGGCACAAGAGCTACTGGATGTGGCCAGAGCCTCATGGGAGTTAAAAGAAAATACAGTGTATCTTTTAGACTTGTGGGCAGAAAGGACTTCTTTCTAAGAATAAAACATCAGGAGCATAAACCCTAATGTAAAGAACTGGATCACATCAAAGTTAAGAGCCTCTGGTCGATAAAATTCTATAGGCAGAATTAAAAGGCACATGGCACAGATTGAGGGGCAAAGAGCTTTCAGCACCTAAATCAACGAGAAACTAACATTTGTTATCCCGGGAATTCCTATAAACCAATAAGGAGAAGATAAAAAACCCAAGTCAGAAAATGGACAGAAGATATCAATAGTCAGTTTACAGACAAGGAAACGCGAAAGGCCTGCAAAAGTGAGAGGTGCTTGAAACTTGCTGTTTAATGAGCCACCTCGTACTAGACTAGCGGGAATCAGAGAGGTGGCAGGTGCTGAGTGTGGACGGGGGCCCTGCTCCCCTGCCAGTGGGGATGCTGATGGGCAGCCATCATGGACAATACAAGGGCCTCCTTGAGGATCAAGAAGTCGCCAGTATTGCCCACTCTGGCATAAAGCACTGAGAAATGCCCCGGCAGGTCCACTGGGCCCACGGACGGTCGTGTTCACTGCAGCATTGTGCCCAGAGGGCGAGGGGGAGGAGGGCAGTTGGTGGGGGTTGCTGGGAAGCCAGGTTGAGTGGGGAGGTGTGCACCGTGGGGTGCTGTGCCATGGCCAGCAGCATCAGGTGGGTCTGCCAGGTGGTGCTGGGTTAGACCCGCACCCCGAGGTGTGCGCTGCAGTGCCAGCTGTGACTCAGTTCACATAGACAGTGACTCTGCATTTTCCAAGAATCAAAGTAGTACGTATTGAGGGTCTCGGGGTGGCCGCCTTGGTGGGCAGGGAGGGGAGGGTGGGCATGAGGAGGAGGAGTAATGAGCCAGGTGACTCAGAGTGTCAGCAGATCTTCACCCTTCAGTTCATTTTCCACCTCATCAGTTGTCTGTAATTCATCTGAAAGCCACCTGTGAAATCATCCTAAAATTAGGTTTTTCATAAGCAAATTCAGCACAGGCCCCAGCCTCTCCTGGTGTGTCAGTGCAGGAAATCCAGGCAGAGCAAGCAGGCAGCAGTCGGAATGTCCAGCCCACAGGGCCACTTGTCTCTCCGCCAGGAGCCCTGTGAGGGGAAAGCAGCCCTTCTGTGTCCATCTTGCTGCCCTTGGGCCCTCAGGAGCCTCTTCTCCCACTCCGCCTGCTGTCCTTGGCCCTCTCCCCTCCTTGCATGGGTACTTCTCCCCCTTGTCAGAGGGCAACTCGAGAAGGTCAATCGCACCCTGCTCACGGGACATTATCCAGCAGGCTCATGGGGGTCTGTCCTGCTGACGGTTTAGACAGTGGGCTCAGCCCTGAGAGCAAAACACTTTAACCAAAGGCTTTTTCCTTCAAACAGGTTCATTTGACACCTTCACCAAGTCTGCAGTTTTCTTTTGTGCTGTCGTGGGCATGTTATCCCCCAAATTCCTCATTTGTAGGAGTATTCTGAAACTCTTGTACATTTCTTTTTCTGTTTTGCACACTTGGCTTCACCCAGAGTGTTGAAATCCTATCGGTATGTACAGTGGTGCGGGACCATCCTTTGCCAGACGCCAGCTGCATCGTATCACCCCTTTTGGCTCCCCTGTGTGTGATCCTTTCCTCCCGTGCCTTCCCAGTCACTGCCTGTGGCCCCTCACCTGAGCATGCTCAGCCCCAGGACTGTGACGCCTGCAGTCATGATCCCAGAGTCACCTGCATGTACCCTCCTCCTCTGCGTGTGGGTGCCTGTGGTATCTGATGCTGCCTGTCATCTCTCTACTGCAGTGAGGAAGGTAAAGTGTCTACCTCTCAAGATGCTGCTTGTAAAGACGTGGAGGAGAGCCCTGAAGCGGCAGAGGTGAAGTCCACGGGCCCCCGGGCCCCCAGCAGTAGTGCAGAGCAGAGGTAACTGCCCGCCGCCTCAGCTCCTGCCCAGGCCCCACTCTGACTTTTGCTATTGTCTCCTGGGAGATGGGAGGGAAGTTGGCGTCTTGGGGTCTGGAGGGCTAGGGGTAGGGGGTCACACAGCTATCCTCAAGCATTCAGTGACTTACTCAGCACAGTAGCATTTTCTCCATCCTTATGTAATCAGGGTGCTGAGCGGAGAACTTAGAAGCAGCACTTTATCCCTTTACCCAGAAGCCGAAAACTGGCTGGGTTTGGAGATTCAGTACCCTCACTGGCTCTTCGAGAAATCACTGGGAATGAAAGAGTCTCTGATGCTGGTGTTTCTCCTGCCCTTTCTGAGAAGGGGTGCTAAACTGAGCTGATATTGGGGTCCCTTGGCTGTGGCGGCCACGTTGTCATGGGCCCCGAGCAGTCACCCAGCCGCTAGGCACAAGCAGCTCCTGGTGTTCATTTCCCCAGACATGCCCTGGGGACCCTGGGAGAACTTTCCTGGAGACCCTGTCACATATGTAGCTTGAGATATTCTTGCACCTTAGGTGACTCCCTGTTCAGTTTTGCTTTTGCAAAGTATCACCTTGTTTTGATCAAGTGTGATACGCCACTGCCAGAGCTGAGTGATTTGGGATGTGATGTCTTCTTTCTGGCTGTGTTTCGCTCAGGCTGAGCCGGTGGTCCGAAGGGTAGGCTGGCCTGGGCTGGGCCCTAGCTCGCACCAGAAGATGAGGCTTTGCCCTTGGGCCACAGGGAACTTGGCTCAGCACTTCATAGAGTTCATTCTTTTTGTTAAATATAAGTCTGTGTATTCCTTCCATAAGGAATAAAGGAACCTTTAAAGCCATTTCAGAGAAGTTGTACTTTTTCCCTTCAACCCCCACCCCTCAACTCTTCTAACATTTTAGGGGGTGACCTAACCAGTGGGAACCAGCGGGGGGCACTCTGTGTTCACCAGTCAGCAAACCTGTACCTTCTGTATTGCTTTTTGTTTCATGGAAATTTCAGCCAGAATAAGAGGTTTGCTTTGGGGTTTTTTGTTCTCTTTTGTTTTTGTTTTGCATGTAAAACTAGTTCATTATAAAAACTGTTGGAGCATGTGGGGCTCTAGTGAAGGCTTTGGAGGGAATGGCAGGTGACATTCCAGCTTTGGGGGAACCCAGAGCTGTGTTTGGGCATATCATCTTTTTGGCCTGGGTTTACAATGTATGTTTTTTTAAAAGGTCCTCTGTAGGTCTGATTCCTAATCAGTTATGTCATCTCCCTTATGTCCACCTGTAAATTTCCTTTCTGTTGATAGCAGTCTGAAAGGCAGGGTGATCTGAATCTGTCCCCATTTGGAATAGTCAGTCGTTCAGGAGTCTGTTCTTGGTTTCTCTGGCCTGAATGGTGCAGGATACAAGGTCATTTCCCTGGCTCTCCGGATTGTGGAATTGTTTGCCTCCAGGGCAGACTTGTCTTTTCCCTGCCCAGAAACACCTGGTGGGGAGAGCGAGTGGGAGAGGGGGCACCATGTTCTCCCTGCGTTTGTCCGTCTGTCCAACACACCCTCGAGTGTAACAAACACACAGGTGAAGTAGGGGCATGTGGAAAGAGGTGCTACTGAGGAACAAGTACAGCTGGTTGAGAGGCGGTCGTCTTGGGGTCGCGGGGAAAGGCCTCCGGGAAGGGGACATTTGAGCTGCAGTCAGGGCAGGGCGAAGGGTTCTGTTACATTTGTGTTCTAAAAACAATTCACGGCAGTGCTGAAGGTAAAGATAGCCATTTGGGACTTTTCCTCTGCAGTCTTCTCCACACGGTTCCTGTCACAACCGAGTAGCTGAGATCCTTTAGATTGACAGGTGTGCACTGTTGCACATAAAGATGCGCATGGCCGCAAAATTTTATTTTTAACTACAGTTTATCAAGCATGTAAGGTATCTGTGCCAGCCAGTGTGCCCAGCCCTTTGCAGACCTTGTATACTTACTAACCCCTATGGGGGATTATTGTTCCCCTTTTAAGGGGGAGAAAACTGAATTGAGAGAGGTTAAGAAATTTACTTAAGATCACACAGCTTGTAAGTGGTGAAGGCAAGATAAGTTCTGGTTATGTGTGGTTCCAGAGCTCTTGGGTCCCGTATGTCTGTGGTGTATGGCGACATCACCAAATGTAAGTAGAGTGCGGTGTGTGTGTGGAGCCAGTTTCCTGGTTCTCTGTTATGACAGCAGGTGTCTAAAGTGTTCTGTTCGCAGATTTTGAATGCTGGTTCAAAAGGACTTGTTTGCTTCCCAGTTTGGGCTCTATGTCTATTTCATAAAATTTGGGTAGCACCATCAAGAACATCCTCTGTGTCCAGGTTGTAATTTTGGCCGGAAGGTGGGATTCATATGTCCCATTACTACATTGTTCCACCCTGCCCTCCCTGCCAACTTTCCCCTTAACACTTGCTGTGGGGGCCCATCTGTTACAGTCAGTGTTCAACTTGGTTGCCAACAGTGGGTCTTGTTCACAAACATTTTTCTTCCTTTCTTTGCCCTCTTTCAGTAGCAGAATCATCTTTCAAGTGAACCTATATGTAGATTCCAATATACAGAATAGATAAAAAAGCTATTTTGAAGGAAGGATAAGCGTATAGCTCCTAAAGGCTCCAGGAGAAACCATTTAAAAACCACTAACCTATCTGTGCCTGGGTTCCTAGGAAGTGAAGTAGTAGCTTCATGGAGCCCCTGCTCTTTTTTTTTTTTTTTCATTGCACTAACATTTTTTATTGAAATGTTGACATACATTATTATATTGATTTCAGTGTCAACACAGTGATTCAACAGTTATAAAAATTTGGAATGCTTCACAAATTTGTATGATATCCTTGCCCAGGGCCCATGCCAATCTTCTCTATATCATTCCACTTTTAGCATATGTGCTGCCAAAGTGAGCACAATTACACTAACTTGAAGTGGACAAATCCACATTAAGAGATAAAAGCCATTTAAAAGAAGTATGATCAAAGCATTAAAATTGACTAGGGACTAGGCAAACGGTACCAAACAAACGCAATCAAAAAGAGCAGAAGCGGCACTGTTAATAGAAGACTAAGCAGAATTTAAAGTTAAAAACACTAAACAGGATAAAGATTGGTGTTACATAACTTTTTTTTTTTGGTATCATTAATCTACAATTACGTGAGGAACATTATGTTTACTAGATTCCCCCCATGACTAAGTTCCCCCCACATACCCCATTGCAGTCACTGTCCATTAGCATAGTAAGATGCTGTAGAATCACTGCTTGTCTTCTCTGTGTTGTACAGTCCGCCCTGTGCCCCCTCCATTATGCATACTAATTGTAATGCCCCCTTAACCCCGCCCCTTATCCCTCCCTTCCCACCCGTCCTCCCCAGTCCCTTTCCCTTTGGTAACTGTTAGTCCATTCTTGGGTTCTGTGATTCTGCTGCTGTTTTGCTCCTTCAGTTTTTGCTTTGTTCTTATACTCCACAGATGAGTGAAATCATTTGGTACTTGTCTTTCTCCACCTGGCTTATTTCACTGAGCTTAATACCCTCCAGCTCCATCTATGTTGTTGCAAATGGTAGGATTTGTTTTCTTCATATGGCTGAATAATATTCCATTGTGTATATGTATCACATCTTCCTTATCCATTCATCTAAACATAGGGGTGCATCTGTCTTTTTCAAACTGGGCTGCTACATTGTTAGGGTAAATTCCTAGGAGTGGAATTCCTGGGTCAAATGGTATTTCTGTTTTCAGCTTTTTGAGGAATATCCATACTGCTTTCCACAATGGTTGAACTAATTTACATTCCCACCAGCAGTGTAGGAGGGTTCCCCTTTCTCCACATCCTCGCCAACATTTGTTGTTGTTTGTCTTTTGGATGGTGGC